AAAGCTGTTGCCAGCAGTGACGTTTCTGGATTATTTCCATTCCACTGTTTGAGCTAAACTGGCTCTTGTTTTTCGTTGAAATCGTTTGAGTGGAAGGTTGAGATCAACAGGATAGGGCCCCAAACAGCCTTAGAAGCAAATATTAAAAGTTTAAATTAATCCGTTGCTGAATCAGGAGCCAATGTAGATAGTACATTGAACTGGGGAAATGTGATAATCATTCACTTTAGTACGTGAATCTAGCTTCCTAATTCTGAAGTTGCTGAGGGCGACTTATCTCGTATTGAGGAAGAACAAAATACAAGGAATTACAAAAGTCTAACTGCGATATTATAAAGGCGTGGGCAATGCTACCAAGAAGCTCAGTTGGCAAACATTTCTTTAATAACAGCAGCAATCTTCCATAAGTAGAAAAACCTGTAGATATAACCTGCGAAATGTGTCTAGGAAATGTTAAACTGCAGTCAGGCACTACACAAGGTTACAAGCAAAGCCACTGGGATATATTCCAGTATGGGAAATTGTCCAAACATTTTGAGAGCATTTTTTTAATTTTTGATGCGTTAATTATCACTCAGGGAATACTGAAAAAAAAATCAAATTTTAGCATGCACACAATTTGCACAATGAGTAGAAATAATATATTTGGTGATAATTGTAAGATCAAGTACATGTAAATGAATTGAATACATAAAACTCTCTACCTTTTTGTTCCACGGCAAGTCCTTCTCTGGAACTCCGTAATCATATAAAATCTCCTCCCCACGTCTAATGGTTTTGGTGGCAAACAGTGCTAGATATGGAGAGCCATCTACCTCTATAACTTTTATCTTAGCATTTCTTAAATATCTGTCACCGTGGTTGACGAGCCTGCCCAATCTAAGCCCTTCTTGTGGTTCCTCTGTAGCATCAATGCTTTATTAAATTAAAAGAAGATGTAATTACATGTAGGTCAATGCATGGGCCAATTCTATTACAAGGGCGTGCATGTAAATAATGTTGGAGAGAAATGAAATTTTTTTATCCCTGTAAAATAAAAAATAGAGGAATGTGGTTGTGAACAACCCCCTGTTACCCATGTGACATTGATACACACTAAAGGCCACGTTGTGATTTGAAGTGAAACTTATTTTTGCATCACCCTACCACATCAAAGTTCTGTCTGATGAACAAACTGAGGTACAGTGTACTTTGACAAACTCACAAAATCACAAACTGAGAATGTGTGTAGGTTGTTAAACCTTTAAGCTTATTGTGTAAAAAATTCAAATTTTAGACAAAAAGAACAATTGTAAAATGTGAAAGACATGCCAAAAAGCTTTAATCAGACAAACATGCCTGTAAGCTCTGAAATGGAAGTGCTCTGTTCTTTTTTCATTTCTACACTTGAAAAGCTTGGGTGAGTGCTAATTGCACTTGGTGTAGCCTAAGATTCCTGTTGGGAAAGGTGGCATTTCACAAATTATGAACATAATATAACACGGACTGCACTGATAATTTGCAATGGTACATGTGCATGTAGTGTAGCCCATGCAGCTAAAAAGATTCTCCAAATTATTTCAAAACTGAACATTTAGAATTAATTATAAAAATCGGATTGCATTTTTTTGCAGAATGGTCACAATTTAATATTATGTTCACTGGTGTGACATTTAGGGGAGATTTGGAAAAGTTGAGCCTACCCTTAAAAGTCCCATTAGCAGTAGAGATAAAGCAAGCAAATTGTGTCTTTACATGTAAGAACATGCAAGCGCACTCTTGGAATTACATATTAAAAGCCATCAAAGCATGTCATCCTCTCATCTCCAACCATGATTGAATAACTTTTATTTCAACTTATTACACTGTCTTCAAGCACCCCAAAGTTTTAGTGGGTAAGATAAAATTCTAAGTACATGTATAAAGTAAATCTACCTGTAACAAATAGAATGAAGTCAATTTGGTTTAAGTAACACAGGATGGGTGACCAATGAAAACAAGCCTCATCTTACCATGGACTTTGATAATGATTGCCATTTTGCTCACATTTACTCTCACTGTCATAATGACTGCACTCGTTATCCACAACAGAGAGAAGTTGTACTTACCACAATCTAAGTTCTTTCCCTTTGAAGTTATGTGTGAAGAAAAAGCGAAACACACTTGGTGTTTTTTCCTCTCGCAGCAATCCCTCCTTTCCGGTTACTCTCTCCCCATGGTAAATAAGGAGAAAATCGTCTTTTTCAAATGTTTGACGGGCAAATACACCTCTGCCTGTTGCATACAAGAAAATAATGTATTTTACTGCACTGCATTTACACATAATATTCATGTACATTGCGCAAATCAGTGTCCTCCAAGTTCAAAAATTTGAACTTGAAGAGAATTGATCAAAATGTCTGAATGCAGGAAGGAAGCCTTGGCATAGGGTTCAGCGCCAACCGTAGTATCCCTCTCCTCCCCTTTGAATTAGCTTCAGTGCATTCTGAATGTTTGAATGGTAAGCTGTTCTGCAATTTTATGCTCACTTGAAACGCTGGGAAACAGTATCCTTTCATGAGTTTTGTGTAAAACTGAATATTCGAAAATTTAAAAGATAAATTTTTAACGACAATGGAAAAAGTAGAGAAGTTATTAACTCAACTGCTGGATGATAGACTTTCCATTTCACTCTGAAATCATGTTTTGTTCAGTGCAGTGATCTTTAGCAAATCCTTATGAGGTGCACTCTCACAGTGGACATAATGTGCGTATATTGGTATTAAGCACAAAGCATTATGGATATTTGCCGTCCTAAATTTCCTGTTCTTAGTGCACTTCAGTGTAAGTAACCCTTTTTCACTTAAAATGGTTTTTGATGGAGAAATTTTGTGTTCACATTTCAACACTCAACCCCAAAGCTGAACAGTGTCTTGCCAGGGTGACATGACAACCTTTTACTAACTTCAGCAGTGCACTTTCTTTGTGACAAAAGTTAATGAAAATGGCACATCATTTGTTTTTTTACATCCAGGGGAAGTATTGGCACATGCAGTTCCACATTATTTTTGGCAGAAAACATCTTTTTCCAGGCCATTCATTCACATTTAATTCATACAGCTACCAATAATGAAAAGTGAAAAATTTAATTTCAAAAAATGCTGGAATTGGGGAACCAATTTGCCCGGACACCCCAAAGGAACACAATGCACTTTTTTTTTCATTTGGTGAACTGTGTTGCTTATGCCATTATGGAATATCTTTTCATTGCCAAACACGGGTGCCTCGGCTTCAGTCTCACAAGTGTGTGGCCATGCATTCATGTAAATTTCTATTTCTTGGAATACTATGTGGTGTATACCTTTTGAACTTGTCATTTTCTCAACAAGTCCATCAGGGTCCTTTTGCAGATTCACTGATGAAATAGCTTCTTTCAAATCCATGCATGCTTTTTTGGTTTTTCTATCACAGAAAAAAAAGATAGTTGAGTTTAACAGAGTTACATGCAGGTATTTCTAAATTTAATTAACTAGACAAAAAGTGCAACTTTCTACATTTAACAACAAACATTTAACAACAAAAACAGTCTCATCATGTTCAGTCAGATATCTAATGCATCTAATATTGACCTGTGCAACAGTGTATTATAACCCTACAGGTTATATGAA